GTTTCGTTTGGTTTGAGCAGCTCGTAATAAACTACACCTAGCTGATCCCACCAAATGCAGAGCAGAAGCTTCGAACCATGGATATTCGGCCTTGCTGACGATGTTGATGCATGACCGGGCTTACCCCACGATTTTCTACGCTTAGGGTTATCGTAGTGTATCCATTTTTCGTCACCTGTCACGATACGATGCAGAAAACCTTTCCTTTTCTGCCGTTGAAGCAGCTGTTCACATGTGAAAAGACGGCGTTCGACATCTCTCGGCTTCAACTCGTACGGCACCCAATGTCCTTGCTTTTGAATCATTCCTAATCCTTTTAAACGTTTCGAAACTGTTGTGTGATCAACTCCTAATGATTCTGCAAGTTCAGCTAGCGTCTGACATGAGTCTTCACGAAGTAATGCCTCTAATTCCTTGTCTTGGTGCACCAGATCGTTCTTTATCTTCAACATCAAAATCATTATTTTTGAAGCGTCTAAACCAATCTCTGCATGTTGTTTCCGACAGAGCATGGTCGCCGTAAGTCTCAACAAGAATTCTGTGTGCTTCAGCTGCAGATTTTTTTTGAATAAAATAGTGCAATAAAATTCCCCGCAAATACTCTTTTTTTAGCACGAAACTAGACATGTTTAACACAATGAAAAAATAAGTTGTTTACACTTTGGTGAAATGACATATACTGAATTTCAAGGTCGCTTATTGTACTTCCTTACAGATGTGTCACCATCTAAAAATAAACACACGTGGTTCTGGTAACGCCATCTGTTGGAAAACAGCGAGAACTTATTCAAGGTCCTTATAACAACTATAGTAAGGAAAACACTGAAAAATGCATTTTGTAGTTGTAAATGTATAAATAACCGTAATGGAATAATAATTGATTAAAAAAAAATGTAGTTTTATTTGCACTTTACCTTTGAGGATAGACCACGGTGGAGGTATAAACTGGTGGCAGAAGAGAGGGAGAAGGGAAATGATACTAAAACTTAACTTACATAACATAATGTAACAATAACTTAAAAATAACTTAGAAAAGATTAAAAAAAATTAGTGTTGTTTTTAATATTTTTTTGTTTTAATTTTTATTCACTGCTTTTTGCTTTCTTTCCTTCACTTCCACCAGCACTTTCACTCGATAGAGGTCGCTTGGTAAAATATCTATCCAAAGAGGTTTGGCTTTGCCTACTTTTTAAAATGTTTCTAAAATGACTTAGGCAAATCTCATTACCCCGAGCGGCAATACGGCCAGTGTGAACCTTTTCGGGATGTTCCTTTTCAATAAAATCAGTCACTTTCTGATAATACCTCGAGATTTCCTTTATCGAGCAAGATCCTTCCATGACGAAGCAAACACGCAAACTGAGACCGACGAACAGAAGTGAATAAAAAATGGTGCTGCGAACTAATGTAACGTCGTATGGTGAGTTTTTGTTCGTATCATGGAGCAAAAATATTTCGAATTTCGTGTTGTATCCTGAAAATTTTGTATGCTGGGGCGTTCGTATCCTGAGGTACCACTGTATATTTTATACTTTAAATATCCCCAAACTTCATTCTTGCAATCAGACATATTCTGCACCCTTGGAAGTCAATAGATTCAGTTGGTGGGCATTTCATCTCAGTATATATAATTTTAAAAACATTTGTTGAAAATTTAATATTACATGTACTGAGTTTGATGATTATTCTATGTTGTATATTTTTATCATAATCTTTTAAATATATTTTTATGTAATTTGTAAATTTTTATCATTAGTTCATAAATTTCATATTAACCTTTATAGAGAGGGTTAGTCAGATATGGTGCTATCACGATGTAGTGGAGAATAAACGTGGGAAATTTTTTAAGAATTATCCCACGCGTTTTGGAAAAAATTTTTTAAACAGTTACATCTAGTAAAGAAAAAAATTTCTTTATTGTCACAAAATTCCTTTTTATGTGAAGTTTTTTTTTGCTATAATTTTTGGTTAAAATTTTTTGTGGATATAGACATCGTTCTCCAGTGCCACGTGATCGCCCTTGATGGGTATATCCGTCGATCACTGCAGAGTGGTTAAAAAATGCTTGTTTAAATATAACTAAATGTCATTGGAAAATTTTTAAATAAATATTTTTTGCTAATAATTATACTATAAAGTCAAATTATTTTCTTTCTGACTCATTAAATTCTATTAAATTTTTTTTATAGTGAAAAAATTGCATTTTGATGTAGATAAGGAGGAGGAAATAGAACCTTATGAAGATGACAATGATGATGATTTATATAATTGCAAAAATTCTTATGATTATGGTACTTGAATTAATTTAACTATTTATATATATGTGAAGATTATATAGTTTTTATTTATTCTTAAGAATTTTGTTTGTAAAAGTACAATAGTTTATATAAATGTGCAGTATATTCACAAACCTTTGTTTGGAAATGATGCAATGTACAGTAGCAAGGATGTACAAGAAGGATATGAGATTATGAAATTAAAAAGAAATTACTTCATTGTTTATGGTATTCAATTTACACCATTTTTTCATGAATTAGGGCTATATGTAACCTATAACACATTTAGAAACATTAAAATTCATGTAACAAGACATAGTAGAAAGCATTTTCTCCTGTGTTAAATTGTCATTGGGCTACAATTTGAAAAAATTATAGACCTATAAATTTCCATTGTCATCTGTCTGCCTGTCCATCCATCTGTCTTTTCTTAATTTTGAGAATGGAGTTAGATAGATGAAATCCAAGACCAGATATGGAAACGTTAAGAGCAGGAGGCCCCAATTAACTATATTGGAACTTTCAATGCAAACCAGTTGTGTTATTTCAATTTCAATACTTCCCCTGAAAGCAGTTAATAAATGACTGACATGACTCTATTGTTAAAGGAAAAGTATGATGTACAGGGGCAAGCCACTACTAATTTGAGATAAAGAACATATATTTTAAATTAAATAAATGAAAAATGATTAAAAATTGCAGCCTGGTGTTGTTGTGATGACACAATAAATAATTGTTCATTGTCAAGCTAGAGACTGAAAAAGGAACAGAGCATGATGGAATATTCAATTAAAAAATATAGAACTTCTTTTAACATGTTTACTGCTGCCTGCAATATGATACTTTGTCTATTTAGGAGCCTGAATTAAAAAATCGGATATTTAATATTTTTTTAAAATTTTAAATAGAAGGGTGGTTATATAACAGTCAGTAGGGCAAAGTTAAAAAAAAAAAAAAGAAAAAAAGAGAGAATGTTGACTGGCAAGTTGGAAGACCTAGAGAGAGAGAGGCCCTATTTATTTTACAATTCACTGTAATTACATCTGATCATCTAATTACATGTTTTTAAAGCATGTGTCAAGATATTTGCAGGTTAAAGAACATATGTGAGGCAATAAACAATAGGGGGTGTCAAATTACGTACTTCCTATATTTTCTTTTGCTATATTAATTACTTTAATGAAATGTGAGACCCGAAAGGCCCCTGGGTCTAAATTAATATTTTATTATTTACGTTAAAATAATGTCATCAAATATTACTTTAATTTTTGTGAGAAAAATACTGTTTTAACGTGGGAAAAACCCAGATAACAGATGTTACTTCCTTTCACAGAAGAGAACATCCCATGACTTTCTCTTATCTGGTTAAAATCCANTATACTGAATTTCAAGGTCGCTTATTGTACTTCCTTACAGATGTGTCACCATCTAAAAATAAACACACGTGGTTCTGGTAACGCCATCTGTTGGAAAACAGCGAGAACTTATTCAAGGTCCTTATAACAACTATAGTAAGGAAAACACTGAAAAATGCATTTTGTAGTTGTAAATGTATAAATAACCGTAATGGAATAATAATTGATTAAAAAAAAATGTAGTTTTATTTGCACTTTACCTTTGAGGATAGACCACGGTGGAGGTATAAACTGGTGGCAGAAGAGAGGGAGAAGGGAAATGATACTAAAACTTAACTTACATAACATAATGTAACAATAACTTAAAAATAACTTAGAAAAGATTAAAAAAAATTAGTGTTGTTTTTAATATTTTTTTGTTTTAATTTTTATTCACTGCTTTTTGCTTTCTTTCCTTCACTTCCACCAGCACTTTCACTCGATAGAGGTCGCTTGGTAAAATATCTATCCAAAGAGGTTTGGCTTTGCCTACTTTTTAAAATGTTTCTAAAATGACTTAGGCAAATCTCATTACCCCGAGCGGCAATACGGCCAGTGTGAACCTTTTCGGGATGTTCCTTTTCAATAAAATCAGTCACTTTCTGATAATACCTCGAGATTTCCTTTATCGAGCAAGATCCTTCCATGACGAAGCAAACACGCAAACTGAGACCGACGAACAGAAGTGAATAAAAAATGGTGCTGCGAACTAATGTAACGTCGTATGGTGAGTTTTTGTTCGTATCATGGAGCAAAAATATTTCGAATTTCGTGTTGTATCCTGAAAATTTTGTATGCTGGGGCGTTCGTATCCTGAGGTACCACTGTATATTTTATACTTTAAATATCCCCAAACTTCATTCTTGCAATCAGACATATTCTGCACCCTTGGAAGTCAATAGATTCAGTTGGTGGGCATTTCATCTCAGTATATATAATTTTAAAAACATTTGTTGAAAATTTAATATTACATGTACTGAGTTTGATGATTATTCTATGTTGTATATTTTTATCATAATCTTTTAAATATATTTTTATGTAATTTGTAAATTTTTATCATTAGTTCATAAATTTCATATTAACCTTTATAGAGAGGGTTAGTCAGATATGGTGCTATCACGATGTAGTGGAGAATAAACGTGGGAAATTTTTTAAGAATTATCCCACGCGTTTTGGAAAAAATTTTTTAAACAGTTACATCTAGTAAAGAAAAAAATTTCTTTATTGTCACAAAATTCCTTTTTATGTGAAGTTTTTTTTTGCTATAATTTTTGGTTAAAATTTTTTGTGGATATAGACATCGTTCTCCAGTGCCACGTGATCGCCCTTGATGGGTATATCCGTCGATCACTGCAGAGTGGTTAAAAAATGCTTGTTTAAATATAACTAAATGTCATTGGAAAATTTTTAAATAAATATTTTTTGCTAATAATTATACTATAAAGTCAAATTATTTTCTTTCTGACTCATTAAATTCTATTAAATTTTTTTTATAGTGAAAAAATTGCATTTTGATGTAGATAAGGAGGAGGAAATAGAACCTTATGAAGATGACAATGATGATGATTTATATAATTGCAAAAATTCTTATGATTATGGTACTTGAATTAATTTAACTATTTATATATATGTGAAGATTATATAGTTTTTATTTATTCTTAAGAATTTTGTTTGTAAAAGTACAATAGTTTATATAAATGTGCAGTATATTCACAAACCTTTGTTTGGAAATGATGCAATGTACAGTAGCAAGGATGTACAAGAAGGATATGAGATTATGAAATTAAAAAGAAATTACTTCATTGTTTATGGTATTCAATTTACACCATTTTTTCATGAATTAGGGCTATATGTAACCTATAACACATTTAGAAACATTAAAATTCATGTAACAAGACATAGTAGAAAGCATTTTCTCCTGTGTTAAATTGTCATTGGGCTACAATTTGAAAAAATTATAGACCTATAAATTTCCATTGTCATCTGTCTGCCTGTCCATCCATCTGTCTTTTCTTAATTTTGAGAATGGAGTTAGATAGATGAAATCCAAGACCAGATATGGAAACGTTAAGAGCAGGAGGCCCCAATTAACTATATTGGAACTTTCAATGCAAACCAGTTGTGTTATTTCAATTTCAATACTTCCCCTGAAAGCAGTTAATAAATGACTGACATGACTCTATTGTTAAAGGAAAAGTATGATGTACAGGGGCAAGCCACTACTAATTTGAGATAAAGAACATATATTTTAAATTAAATAAATGAAAAATGATTAAAAATTGCAGCCTGGTGTTGTTGTGATGACACAATAAATAATTGTTCATTGTCAAGCTAGAGACTGAAAAAGGAACAGAGCATGATGGAATATTCAATTAAAAAATATAGAACTTCTTTTAACATGTTTACTGCTGCCTGCAATATGATACTTTGTCTATTTAGGAGCCTGAATTAAAAAATCGGATATTTAATATTTTTTTAAAATTTTAAATAGAAGGGTGGTTATATAACAGTCAGTAGGGCAAAGTTAAAAAAAAAAAAAAGAAAAAAAGAGAGAATGTTGACTGGCAAGTTGGAAGACCTAGAGAGAGAGAGGCCCTATTTATTTTACAATTCACTGTAATTACATCTGATCATCTAATTACATGTTTTTAAAGCATGTGTCAAGATATTTGCAGGTTAAAGAACATATGTGAGGCAATAAACAATAGGGGGTGTCAAATTACGTACTTCCTATATTTTCTTTTGCTATATTAATTACTTTAATGAAATGTGAGACCCGAAAGGCCCCTGGGTCTAAATTAATATTTTATTATTTACGTTAAAATAATGTCATCAAATATTACTTTAATTTTTGTGAGAAAAATACTGTTTTAACGTGGGAAAAACCCAGATAACAGATGTTACTTCCTTTCACAGAAGAGAACATCCCATGACTTTCTCTTATCTGGTTAAAATCCAGCTCAGATGGGAAATGGTTACCCCTCATTCATCCCCCCTTTCATCCGTTCTCACGAAAGAGTTACTGGCCGATGATTGGTCGGCATTCAGAAGATATAGAGGGAACTTGTCTGAATTCGGGGAGTTCAGCGACAGATCCGAAAGCATACAAACTCCACATACGTTTCCCTCCTGATGACCAACGTCCTCAGACGAGTCACATACGGAATAAGTCTGCACGTAGGAAATATACTTTTATATGTGTGCACGTATTGATCTCCCATACGAAGAAGTAACTGAACTTGCATACAGAGAAGAAGACGAACGACATCTGAAACAGGTCGTATGTTTTATAACGTTTTTGTGAGCTCTCTCTCGATCGCGAATAGGATATAATATAAGCTTAATTATCTCCTGATTGTATATTATTGGTAGTGGTTCTGTCTTTTTGTTTATCCACCTTTTGTATGATTTATTTTCTTATTTATTAAATTTATTATTTCGTTTCCAACTAAGATGTCTCCTAATTGTGTGACCGAATCAGATCTCATACGCGTGTTAATCCGCGTATAATAAGATTGATTAACTGGTGTCGGGACCCTGACAATTTGGGATAAAGACCTCACAGTCTTGAATCCCCTTTTCCTAAATATAACAGCCCTCCTATAAAACGTTACGAGAGCCAATCTCACGATTGCACGCCGTAAGTGTCGTAGACTAAGATCCACGTCCTGGCTAATCTCACAAGTGGTGTAGCAGGAGTGGGGGTTTTCGAACTAAAAAAAAAAAAAAAACACCCGTAATAGAATCTCACCAGTGGTGTCCCAGCCGTAGGTTTTCCGAACTAAAAACACCCGCGGTAGAATCTCACATCTGGCAGCAGGAGTAGGGTTCAGAACGTGCAGAACCTGGTTTTTCGGGCTGAATACGTCGCTTTAAGTTGTTAAAATACGTAGATTAATTGTAAGTTAAATTGTAGGTTACTTATAAGATAAAGTAATATTGCAGAAGGAAATCCTACCCATGCTATGTTGGGAGCCATGAGTGGCTTTGTCTCTTTATTGCCTGCTTTTTCAGGTGAAACGGGGCAAAACATTAAGGAATTTTTCGTGTCATTGGAAGATGTGTGAAAGCTAGCCTCATGGACCAAGAGTCAGTTATTAACAGTGGCTAGATTAAAATTAACGGGATTAGCACAACAGTTTAGCCGTAGGGATAGAAGAATTAAAGATGTAGACAAATACGATGATTTTAAAAGAATATTAATTGATAGATTTGAGCGCATCCCTACTTCCATTAGATTACAACGATTCTATGCTTGTGTTCAGAATCGCGACGAAGATGTACAAACATACGCTGTCCGGTTGCAGGCTTTAGCCGAGGAGGTGGAAATAGAAATAGAGGGAAAGAATGCTGCGGAAATAGCTATAATTAAAAAGATTAAAGCTAAGGAATTAGACGAGAGGTTGAGGGTTCAATTTGTGAATGGGGTCGACATCAAAATACGACAACGTGTGATGTCAAGAGAACTCGAAACATTCGATCAGGCTTTAGAAATAGCGATTAAGGAAGAGGAGATTGAAGCCCTTACAAAAGGACGCAATCATAGTGATATAGTTCGGGTAGTGAAGGAAAATAAATCAGAAAATATACGTACTTATGAAATACAAGAAATACAAGAGAAATTAGAACAATTGATAGAACAATTAAACATTTTAAAAGCAAAAGATAGGAAAAATTATAACAAAGCTGAAAGAGAGGTGCACTTCCGTAAAGACGCGGACATGAAAAAGCGAGATCGAAATAGAGATAAGCATTTCCGTTCGCAACCGTGCAGTTATAGAGAAACAGATATGTGGGAAGGTGCTTTGTCTAATGTTAAGACAGATGATAGACCAATAGTAATGGTTTATGTAAATAACTTACCCACTAAATTTAGAATTGATGAAGAGGCAGACACTTCATTAATATCTAAGCGCATTATAGATAGAATAAAGCGAATAAAGCCTTTTTACAATAAACTGCCGGTAATGATAGATAATTCACCCCGAGAAACAGTCGTAGGTATAGGAAATGCCACCCCTGAGTTTAAGCTAAGAGGAAATAAATTTAGAGCTACTTGTAGAATAGTGAATTCAGAAGACATATACCCGTGCGATGGTACCATAGGTAAAGATATACTAGAGAGAAAAAATATCAAAATAGACAATAAAGAAAATAGATTAATTTTGCCTGATGGCAAGAGCCTTCATTTTTGTTCAGCCGTACCCGTATCATACTATAAGCGAGAACCTAAGAGATACAATTATAATACGAATCACAGAGGGGAATACTATAGAGAGAACTATATAAGAAGCATACAAGTATATCCCGAGCGGAAACGCTATTTGGAAAATACTTATATTTTGAGGAAAATGATAGAAAAATTAAGAAAAACATACATAGAAAAAGAAAAGGGTATGATAATAATACGGAGAGATCAATTCCCATAAAATCAAAAGGTATTGAAGCTGCTAGACAACCACAGTTTAGGGAAAATGAAAATGCAAATAAATATAAGCGAAGAGCATATAAGGGAAATAAGAAAGAAAAGAAAATTCTAAGAAATTCCCCACCAAAGACAAATAATACTCGTGAGAGAAAGATAGACAATAGCGGTAGTAAAGAAGATACCTGTTACTCTGATTTAAATATGGTTAAAAGGATAGATAATGAAAATACGCAGGATAATATCTTCAAAGAAATGCTTCATCTTGTGAATAACACAAAGATAAAATTTAAATCGGTTTTCGATACCTCGAATTGATAGTCGGAAATAGAACCAAGGATCCGGTAATTCCATGTAGAGATAAGGATAAGGTTTTGATTCGTATACATACAGATAATATAAAAAAGGAAGTAAGTCATTTCGGAAAGGAAGAGAGTTAGGTTATATACATTGTAATACTTCCTATATACATTATTACGTTATCAATTTCGCGTAGAATTTTCTTAAGAATATTAAAGCCGAGTAAAATAAGAAACAATGCATAATATGTTCGCTAATGATATTTTGAATATACCTATGTTTTTCTAAATATGATTGGAATAATTATCGATAGAAAGAAAATTGGTATCTATATTTAGAAATAGTAAGGTTGTATTATTATTTTGACCCTTAAGTCTTACCAACTTCCGAGTGTCAAGAATAACTCAATAATCTTAAGGAATAATTAACCTATTAAATTTAAGATAGCAGTAATAAAATAATAAGTTAAGGTTAAATTAAATATACTTTATGATAATGATCGATCCGAAGGGAGTTTACCCTGATAGAATAACAATAATATTTTATGGTATAGTCTATATGTAAGACTTAATGTAGTAATAAGAGAGAGAGAGACTTTAATAAAGCTATGTAATTTGTTAACATACTGCCTTTAAAGTGAAAATACTTTGGTGAAAGTGACCTTTGCCCAGATGGATTTAAATGACCCTGGAGTCATAAAATACTTAATGAACTCAACCACCTGAACTTTTGTGGTTATGTTAAATGAACTTTTAGAAGAAGGAATACACATTTTAACATTTTAATAGTGCATAGTGAACCTTGAACTTTTAAAAGGTGTTTCATGATAAGAAGAAGACATCATACGATCTTTAAGGACCAATGATAGTGTAACAAATACAAGAAGTCACCCAAAAGGAGTGCTTCAGTAAAGACTTTCAACACAAACACGTTCCAGATGCGTTCCAATGGTGTGAAAAAGGACAATAGGAACTTAATAACTTTTGAGAACAATTTCTTAAAGGAAATTTTTTTTTAAATGCACTCCCCACCTCAGTCAAGTTATTTTTAGAACATTCAGAGAAAGCGAGAGTGCATTCAAACACACAACGAACTTGTTAATTTTTGCCGTTGATCCAAGACGAAGACACCTGTGTTCATTGTGTTTATTTTAATAATATTATTTTGATGATTGTTTATTATATTAATCAATGTATTTTAATTTTGAATTTAATTCAATCTATTGTATAGATTTTAAGATATTATTTGTGTAACGCCATTTTTCCAGAGAGAGAGCGTAATTTGAACTTGTGTATTGCAGTGAAAAATCACGCCTTCTTTAAATGTAGTGTGATTTTTGAAGATAAGGGAGTAATGTGAGACCCGAAAGGCCCCTGGGTCTAAATTAATATTTTATTATTTACGTTAAAATAATGTCATCAAATATTACTTTAATTTTTGTGAGAAAAATACTGTTTTAACGTGGGAAAAACCCAGATAACAGATGTTACTTCCTTTCACAGAAGAGAACATCCCATGACTTTCTCTTATCTGGTTAAAATCCAGCTCAGATGGGAAATGGTTACCCCTCATTCATCCCCCTTTCATCTGTTTTCATGAAAGAGTTACTGGCCGATGATTGGTCGAAATTCAGGAGATATAAGGGAAATTAGTTCGAATTCGGGGAGTTCAGCAACAGATCCGAAAGCATACAAACTCCACATACGTTTCCCTCCTGATGACCAACGTCCTCAGACGAGTCACATACGGAATAAGTCTAGAGTCTACACGTAGGAAATATACTTTTATATGTGTGCACGTATTGATCTCCCATACGAAGAAGTAACTGAACTTGCATACAGAGAAGAAGACGAACGACATCTGAAACAGGTCGTATGTTTATAATAATCTTGTGAGCTCTCTCTCTCGATCGCGCATTACCATAGAATAGGTCTTAGCCTATGGCTTGTCGCTTAATTGTCGTTCATCGATTATTTGTATTCGTTTTGTTTTAGAATTATTAAATTTACTCTTGTTAAATATACTTAAATGTCTCTTAAATTGTTTCCGAATCAGATCGCAAACGCGTGTTAATCTGCGTATAATAAGATTGATTAACTGGTGTCGGGACCCTGACAATTTGGGATAAAGACCTCACAGTCTTGAATCCCCTTTTCCTAAATATAACAGCCCTCCTATAAAACGTTATGAGAGCCGATCTCACGATCGCGCACCGTAAGTGTCGTAGACTAAGATCCACGTCCTGGCTGATCTCACAGAAATAAAAGAATTAAACTAGTCTTTAATATGTTTCTTCTTTTTTTCTTAACTATTTACTATTTAAAAAACACTATCAAATGTAAAATAGTTTTTTATTAAAAAAAACGCTACGACTGCTGGTTGTCAAACCACTTCACGACCCCCTAGGACGATCGGCGTCAAAGCCAATTTTACAAATGTTTGTGAGAGGCCACCACTAGGATGTAAAACAATGTCTTACAAAGCCAGGAAAATTTAACCTTGAATAAAAATGCATTGGTTATAACGATGTCCAGCCATCGGACATCTCATTAGTTGATTACTTAGTATGGCCGCATGCCTGTCGGGCTGCTGTTAACATGTTAATTAGTGATTGACATCCACATGTAAAGTTGAATGAAGTAGAAGACAGATGTAAAAATTAGGAGATGTCATTGAACAGCTTCCGTGCAAGAGGGAAGGAGTCCAAATCTTTTGAAGTTGATCGCTGCATTTTTTGTAGTTGCTGTAAAAATCTCCAACAGTTCCAAATATTTTTGTTCCTTGTAGTTGGTACAATATAGGAGGTGGGCTTGGTCAAAATAGATGACAATATTGGAGTTGGTGGCTTATGTGACAAGGGCTATGGTCATAAGCCACTTACAGATGGAAGTGCAATGCTCTTTGAGGTGGGTATTCAATGGTCATCCTACAGCTCGCACATTCTAAACTGTAGTTAAATCTGATCTGTGATGAGGATAGTATATACCTGTAAAATGCTTTGGTTACACATTTTACAGAATAACCAAAGCAGAAAACACAAGAATGTCTGCTTTGTCTGAATTCCACTCAACAGATGCTTTTATACCCCACAGCAGACATCACAGTAAGCTTCAGCTATGATTCTGTTGCTTTATTCATAAACCTGTGTGGATCTTCTTTCATGGGTATTGGCTTGTTGCATATCATTGTTTAAACACTGATACCTCTATTCTTTTTTGCTCCAACCCCTTATATTGTTTTCCATCAGGCAAAATCTCAATGATGATGCAAATTTCCAGTGTTTGTAAATCAGACAAAAAACTGGCACACATAAACTGGAACTATATACTAAACAAACAAATTCATACCTAAATGCTAATTCCAGCAGTAAATGAACAAATAAACTTTAATGTTCAAACGTTTTTGGCCATCTTTCAGAGACCCTCATCAGGAAAAATGCATAAAACAGAAAAAACAGTTCTATCTTTCGAAAAGTTTTAGCTTTAGAAAGATGGCCGAAAATGTTTGAACATTAAAGTTTATTTGTTCATTTACTGCTGGAATTAGCATTTAGGTGTGAATTTGTTTGTTTAATGTTGTATTGGAAATTTCAATATACAGTTATGTTAAATGTAATCATGACATGTGTTCTGCCCTATTTTTGTGTATTACAAACACATGTCACCCTGTATTAATCCTGCAAAAGTTTCAATGGATTCCTTGATTTTTGCACTCCCAAGTTACTTTATGACTATCCTGTATATGGATTCACTCAATAATGAATAATGTTATATGCAATAGATACAGTATAGCATTTGTGATTTATGATATGGTCATGAAAGCACAATTCTGTCATAAGTTAAACATACAGTCTTGTCATAAATTCAACTTATTCTGTTATTTCACTTAAGATGATTATTGTAAATTGATACTAAAAAGAGATCAATGTTTTAAATTATATATATTTTAAAATAATTTATTATATTAATTCTGATTGAAATCTTTTCATTTGATTTTAGAACTATATGATCACTCTAAAGTCTTGAAACAAAGTAATAATCAAGTAAGAGTTATAAATTTACATTATCTTTTTGTTGAAATTCAGTCTTAAATTTAGTAAATTTACCATGATTGATTATCAATATTTTTACAATTAAAAAAGAAAAGGTATTTCTTTAATTTGGTAATTACATAATAAATTTTAGCAATCTCATACAAATCAACAAAGTCTCCCAACTAAACCAACAAATTTTCAACCCAATGAAAAACTTTTAAGAAGATTTGAAGATAGAATTAATGTTGGTATGTTGAATGTTGTATTTTAACAACGAATAATTTTTATCACATAACATTAAAAAGTTTTCATTAATTTTTTTTATAGATAAATATGAAGGTCCTCCTGTGCTGCGCAGTACCATTAACTCTATTTTAGAGAATAAAAGGCATTCAGATTCTGAAAAGTAATTTTTCTTTCAAATGTCCAGTTTTTTTTAAGTTTAATTTGACTTATTTAGTTTGATATTTTCTATTTTAGAGTTAGGATTAAGGATAAAGCGTTTCGTGCAACTGTCGAACAGGTTTTAGATCCACGAACACGAATTATTTTATTTAAATTATTGAATCGTGGTGTTATTGAACAAATAAATGGATGTATCAGTACTGGCAAAGAAGCAAATGTTTATCATGCTACATCTAAAGATGGAATTGACAAAGCAATAAAGGTTTGAAATTTGAATTTTAAATTAATTCCTAATGAAGTTTTGTATTCAGTAAAAAAATTTAAATTATGTTTTTTTATTTGAAAAATAGGATTCATCAAATCAATTTTTATTAATTTAGATATATAAGACTTCTATATTAGTATTTAAAGATCGAGACAAATATGTGAATGGAGAATTTCGGTGAGTTTTCTCATCATTTTAGTATAATAAATAATCTGGATAAAAAAATTTTAAATGAGTTTATAATAGATTTCGGCATGGATATTGTCGTCACAATCCAAGAAAAATGGTAAAAACGTGGGCAGAGAAAGAAATGAGAAATCTTACTAGAATCCATCGATGTGGATTGCCTTGTCCTGAACCCATTCTATTAAGAAGTCATGTTTTAATAATGAAATTTATTGGAAAGGATGGATGGTATGAAACTTATACTTATATACTATATAATGTGATCAAATATAAAGTTTACTTGCAAGAAATAGACTTAACACCACAAGCTGGTTGTGCTTGTTGGAAAGCTGTTATGTATAACAGGAAACACTTAAGCTGGATATCCATGTAAGCCAATGTCACCTTGAAATTTAAACACTTTTGGCACTACATGTGTACAATTTAAATAAGTGAGCATCTAAATTAAGCATAACTGTGCAACTTAGATGCTCAAGCTAGATTTACTTTTTATTGTGTGAATCGGACATGTCCACTCAGTGACAACTGTATCAGATGTTCTTTGTTTCAATGTCATCAGATGGTTTGACATTTTCTACAAAATGGCTGGATGGATGAATGCAGAGAATGGGAAATTAAAAGAAGTTTGCAATTTAAATGAAATTTTTAGTAAAAGGGATGGAAAGTATAAAGATAAAAAACGATAAAAAAAATAATAAATCAATGTTTTGTTTTCTTTTTTCCACAAAGAACAGAATGTCACTAAAATTATTGCATCATTGGCATCATCTTCCTATGATTTCATACAAATAAAGTAGTGGCTATTAGTGGTGCATTTTGTGTCATGTGATTATATGCTGGCTTGGCAAGATGAAATCACTTATGTGATTATTCAGCTTTAAATTTTGAACTTTATTTATACATACTCAAGGGATAACTTTTGCTGCTCTAAATAAATAAATCATTCAAGCATCACCATGTGTGTTCTTTGCAAATAACTTTTTCTATTTGATCACTTTGTTTTATTGACTTATTGTTAATACTAATCTGTTCAAATTTATTTGTAGGCCTGCTCCTTTATTAAAAGATGTTGAAATTACAGAATCTAAAGCTAGAGAACTATATTTAGACTGTATCATAATGATGCGTAGACTTTACATTGATTGCAAATTAGTTCACGCCGATCTGAGTGATTACAATCTTTTGTGAGAAAAATATTTTTAGATGTTTAACTAACTTAATAAAATTTAAACTTTAATTTTAATAATTTTTTTGTTTAGATATCATGAAGGAAAAGCATATATTATAGATGTATCGCAGTCTGTTGAGCACGATCATCCATTTGCATTAGAGTTTTTACGAAATGATTGTCAAAATATTAGTGGTAAGAATAAAATATCTAATGAAATTTCATACTAGAATATATAAAACTGATCATGGTTACAATACTTAAACAAGATAATACTTTTAGGTTATTTTAGAAGAAAAGGAGTACCCACAATGACTATCAAGGAACTCTTTGACTTCATCACTGATCCAAACATCAATAACAGTAATATAGATGATTACCTGTCAAAAATGCAAGAAGTTACTTGTAATAGAACAGCAAAAGAGATGAGTGAAAAGGAGAAACTTGAAGAAGAAGTAATTAGATTTTTAATTTTTATTTTGAAATATTTATTAAATATAATAATCTTACCGTTTCTTTATTTAAATAGGTATTCAAACAAGCTTACATTCCACAGAGATTAAATCAAGTGATTAATTATGAAAGGGATGTTTCTCAAGCAAAAGAAGGAGAAAAGGTTGTTATTTTTAATCCATGTTACAATAATTTAGGTTAATAATTATAATTCTCACAATAACTCAAATATTATAATAATAGATATGTTATGGACTAAGTGATTAATGTGAGCATTGTAAATAATGCCTGGCCATTATGAATAATGACAAACAAAATTGGGCACTGTAATAAATTTCAGTTCTTTATCATAATTTATCATGCTGACTGGTTAATATAAATATTGCTATCATCTGATCAAGTGAAATGATAACGTATTGAGAAGTTAACCAATCAGTACTTACATCTGAGTTACGTGTGTACATTGCATTTATTATTAAATTTGAAATTCTTGAGGCCAATAGTTTATCTTGTGCAACATTTTAATTATACTTTTATCTCTTACAATAGTGTGTCTTCTTTTTAAAAAAATATTGATAATGGAGCAGTTATTAAATACAGTAGAATCTCATTTTAATGAATTGATGAGACCACTGAAAATCATCCATTGTTCTGAGAAACTGTTACATCTCCTAGACAAAAAATTAGAATATTCACCTAAAATGGACTGTTTTAGTGTACATTTTCTTACGAACAACACAGAGTAAGAAACTTTTTTCAACACTACATAAACAGTGCTTTTTTATAATTATATCCATTAGTCAGACAAATTAACTCAAATGTTTTTTTGTTACAAATGGAAATGACAAAAAAATAGAATAACAGTTTGACCATGACAAAAAATTAGAATATTAGTAAAACCAGCCAGACAAACAGCCATAAAAACTAAATTGTAATGCAAATTTGCATATTGCTGGACAGAACAGTATAACAGTACAACATAGGGTGTAAGCATGACATCAGTGACAAAACTAAAGATACTATCATAGCCTTACACAAACAGAAATTGCAAATTATGTAAAGTGCTCGCAGCCAACAGTCTCTGGAGTACTGAAAAACAAAAGTTTTAAGTAACAAATGGAGACCAACTGGAGTGAACATTAGTAGCTAAATCACATGCCAATGGTTGCACAACTTGTACTTCAACTGCCGTGTTCCCAAGAAGAAGCCATCTCTAACGAAAAAGAAACAACAAGCGCGTATCAGATGATGCAGAGAAAGGCTCATGTGGGGACAAAACGATTGGAATAACTGGTGTATGTCTGTTCTGATTTGATCTGATATGTCTGTTCTGATTATGATCAATGACAACCCATATGGATTAACCCTGGAGCTAGAGCAGGAAAGTGGAAACAATGATTGGAATAACATTCTCTTCAGTGACGAATCCCTGTTTTGTCTCTCCTGTGATGACCAAGGCTCATGTGTATGGAGAACAACCAAAGAGGCCTTCGAAAAGGATTGTATGAAGAGATCCGTGAAGTTTGCATTGTCCATTATGATTTGGGGATGCATGAGTAGGACAACTGTGCATTCTTTGGGAACATGTCAATGCACAGACATCAAAACTTTTTAAAGACATTTATGATACCATTGGCAGAGGATTTAGTTGAGGAAACATTTTTATTTCAACAAGATGGTGCATCCTCTCATACCATGAAGTCAATGATACGTTGGTTACAAGAATGACAGATAGCAATCCTGCCTTGGCCAAGCAATTTCCCAGACTTAAACCCATTGAAAATTTGTGGGAAGTCATGAAACGCTGACTTAATGAATGGTGCCCAATTCTAAAGAGAAATTACTGACGTGCATTTGACATATTTGGAACTGCATCACCAGAAACAAATGTACCTTTACAAATGTACATCAATTCATACCATGTCCAACAGATTGCGAGCAGTAATTATGACTAACGTCAACACCACAAAACATTAAGTTTTTATTATATTTTTTATGTGTAACCAACATTTAGCTAATATTCTATTTTTTTGTCATTTCATTTCCATTTGTAACAAAAAAACGTTTGAGTTAATTTGTCTGATCAATGGATATAATAAATATACATAAGCACTGTTTATGTAGAGTTGAAAAAATGTTTTGTACTCTGTGTTGTTCATGAGAAAATGTACACTAAACATTTAGTTAGGTGAATATTCTAATTTTTTTTTGTCTAGAAGTTGTATATTGCATACAACGTACTTTCCACACATCCAGGAAAATTTTTTTAACCCCTACATAGAAAAAATATTTGTACTTGAAATTATTCAGTCTCTTGAGATCATTATACTTTATTCTGCAGAAACACATATGTTATAAGATTATACATTATGCCATATGTGATTATGGCAAAGCTGACAAAAACTATAAGTTATATACTGTAAGTACAAAGAGAGGCAAGGTATGATATGTATAATCATTAGCACTTTACAATTGGCACTAATCAATGTGCTATAGGAGGGTGCTAATGTGTGTCTGCAACATTAGCAATGTAAACTTCAACAATTACGTGTATATTTTTGGCTTTGTGCATTATATATTTTTAATTGAGCACCCAGAAACACCTAAATATTTTTTAAAAGTTGGAAAAATCACAATGTTTACAGTAAAAAAGCTAAAAAAATTACATTTATTTGATGGGACTTGGGAAAATCTGTTATTCCAAGAAATCCATTGTTCTGTGATCCTTTAAAATGAGATTTTGCTGTAATATGAATAAGTACTTCAATAACCAGTTAAATAAATGAATTAATAGCAGTAAAAGGTAAGAATAGTCAAATTTTCTCCAAAATTGGTGCTTTTGACAATGATACAAAAAATGAAAGAGTCAAAAACAAAAGTAACTTTGAACCAGGGCTGTGGAGTCGGAGTTTTGGTGTTTTGGCCGGAGTCGGAGTTGTCAAAAAATCCGCCGACTCCGACTACTCCCTTTTTACTTACCAACTTGTTATGTATATGAAACAGAGTTGGATGGTAAGAAAAAGTCTGAGTCGGTAGATTTTTACGCGATTCCACAGCCCTGCTTTGACCTTATCTGGAAAACATCAGTGTTTACAGTAGAACCCCTCTAATCCGTCACCTTTGGGACTGGGGGTATGGTCGGAACGCAGAAAAGGTTGGATTATCAGAAAAAAGTTAAATAAACAATTTTCCCCTTTGTCCAGTCTTTGTAGCACTGCTAATTTTTCATTTATGAAAGAGTAACTGTTTATGTTTCACTCCTGACATGTTAAAAACATACACAAAACTATACATGTACAGTACACACAATGTAAAACATATACTGTAACGAACACAGAAAAACGCCACGGACGGTGAGTCACCGACGAGTCGGGACAAGTTTCTCGACTCCGACCACGGTCGGATTAACCGGAGTGACGGACTAGCCGAGGGCGGACTAGAGGGGTTCTACTGTATATTGATATGATATTGTATCTATTGGAGAAATGGAAAAATTAATTGTGCCTGTAAAATAACATAATTTGATTAAATATTATAATCACACTGAAATAATATTTCAGATATTACACGATGCCCATATCACTATCGGCCATGGTGGCAGAAACTGTATGGAAAAAGAATTATGTATGAAATATAAAAATATCATAAGAGAGATGATCATAATTTACTTGAATTTGTGTATAATTTGTCAGAAAAAACAATGTCCTCAAAAAAGACTTGGTAGTTAATAATAAACCAGTTTTAAGTAATGAAATGAACTCAAGATGTCAAATTGATCTTACAGATAGCAGTCACAAGCTGATTAGAAATATAAATATATACTTGTGTATCAAGACCATCTTACTAAATTCAACTATCATTCAACTACAACTGTTAAAAACCAAAAGTGCTAAAAATGTAGTATATGTTCTTTTAGACATTTTTACAATTTTCAATATACTGAGTATCCTACAAAATGATAGAAAATAATTTACCAATAATGTCATCAAAGAACTTTGTAGCATGTGGCCTAAATTAAAAATGGTACATGGAGCACTTACAAAATCAGGGTTCAGTAGAAAGATGTAATCAAAACTTAAAAAATATGCTTAATTCTTGGTTGGAGATTAACAATACTAATAAATGGGCAGAAGAATTATCTATATATATAACCCATTCAACAGGTGTCTGTCCTTCCTTCCTTCCGTCCGTCCGTCCCGTAACCGTTTGATAACCGACACTAGAGGCGCCCCTATCATGTGACATATTTCAAACATTCAAATTAAATTAACAATATAAATTATTATTATTCATTTGGCAAATAAATTATTATTTGGTCAATATAACAATATAAATAATTCAGTATATTTGTAATAGGAATTTATTATTGTCACGGAATGCATGTAATGTTCACTAGGGGGCGAATAACGAAAAACCGGATAGGTTTGAATCACTACGTAAGACGATAAGGTTTGAAATAGTTAAGGTAATACAGTATAAGGTAATATTTTAATATTAATTAACCCATTCAACGGGTAATGGCTATTTGTAAATAACGCCCACTAGGGGGCGTACCAGGCTACTAGTATTGTACAACTGATAAAAAAACCAAGTGCATCATACTGATATAAATTGCAGCCCTTCTTTTATACTGTTGAATGATCAACTAAGATTAATATGGAAGATGTCTCTAAATTCTTTTCCATGTTAATTTTGGTTGATTTATTCTTTTCTTGGCTGAAGTCTTTTTTAAAAGTAATGACAATGAAGAAAGTCAAAGTTGCTCAGTTTCTAGAAGATCAGGTACTGTTTAAGAGAACATAATAAAATATTCTTCAATAATGTTACCTCACATAGCAACACAATTGATGAAGTTCAAAGTCCTACATCAAATGAAGAAGATTTAATCATGCTGATTTCCAGAAACCAGAACATTAGTACTACAGAGTTGGTGAATGATGAAGAAATAATCCAAGTAGTTGATCGATTTTTGGATCAACTATTTGAGATTGGTGAGGGTAACATTATTGAAGAATATTTTATTATGTTCTCTTAAACAGTACCTGATCTAGAAACTGAGCAACTTTGACTTTCTTCATTGTCATTACTTTTAAAAAAGATTTCAGCCAAGAAAAGAATAAATCAACCAAAATTAATATGGAAAAGAATTTAGAGAAATCTTCCATATTAATCTTAGTTGATCATTCATTGGTATAAAATTAAATGTGTTTAAAATAAGGGAAATACAATGGGTGATCAGTTAATGAACATAATCCGTTCCAAGACTTTGTTCACTATCTGAATTGTTTGTTAACCGATTATCAATTTACCATAGATTTCTATGGGAATTTGATTAATTTGTTCTGGAGACCCCAAAAAAATAAAAAAATATATACTTTCTTACTAAGTTTTTTTATATGTAATAATAAAAATACATATATACACAGACTTGCATTTTTATTAATCATGTTTTTTTGTTTGTGGGGGTTAAATAATCTGTCTAATGTCGATTGCTTTTCTCTCTTCTTCAGGATTTTCAGAATTAATAGCATTGTAATTGTAGAGATTCCCAAGCCTATTAACCTCAACCTGGTTTGTATGCTATTCTATGACCATTGTTCTGACATCCTTCCACTTCTTCAAAAGATCTTTAATTAATAGCAGATATCGGCATTAATCCTTTTTTTCATAATAAAACATATCTCGCTGAGTTTTTTGGTGTTCTTCATTCAAGAGTTCTTGGCGTTCTTCTGTCGTCAGATCCGTTTCAGGTTCCATTATCAGCTCTTCAATGTTCTTTATTTTTCAGATGTGATATTTGTTACTCCTTTAGCTGCTTGAGTTTTCTTAATTATACTGTATCTTTCTTAGATAAGATTGAACTGCGCCTACTGTAGATTTGTTCAAGCCAAACTGCCCAACAACATCAGACATCTTCTGCCCGCTCTACCTTTGCTATTATACTCTCACCTTTTGAAAATAAAAACTGACGCAAAACTTAATGAGTGCCCGCCCGACAGTCTCACAAATACTATAAAAGAATTGTTTGTCAGAAAAATAAAAGGCTGGGATTACAGGGGAGTATTTCAAGGTTCGAGGAATACTATCTGATCTGTATATATTGGGTTGAGCGTTTACATTGACGTCTCCCATGCTCCAGAAAGTTACCTGAAGACAAAGGAAAATCAATCAGTATTTGCTATTTCAGTCACTTCTTTTTATGTTTGTTCAGTGAAGTGTTCGTTATCCGATTTGTTCATTATCATATCTATTCGTTAACTGATCACCCACTGTAGTTTTCTTTAATCTTAAAAGGCAATGAGAAAAAAATGTCAAATTCCAAATACCCAACAGCTATTGTTGATGACACAGTAAGGATTCTTGTACAAGATGTAGATTGAGCATCCAGTGATGAAAAAAATATTTAGATGTTATTGTGTTTGAATATAAAAATCTTTTCAAACTGGGTACTTATTGAACCTATTATATCCCAGAATCCAATTTACTGTTTGTAATAAAAATTTCAGTTCTGTTGGCAATATATACTAGTATAGAAATTTTGCTTAGAGAATGCACAAGAATTTCATTAATTCTGGAGACCAAGGTTACAGTTGATGCTGCTGCAAAATTGGTTGCAAATCTACCAATTTCAAATATCATAAAGGTCTTAATTGTTCAAATAACTAAACTGGAAAATTTAAAATTTTTGTACATCATATATAAAAAATGATCTTCCAGAAGTTTCCTTTAAGTTGATTTTTTGATTGAATTATAATTTTGTTAATAATACTATTAATCACTTGGTCCATAACAGACACAGTTAAATAAATAGCTCCTTAAATTATTTTAAGAGCTATTTCTTCAAAAATTTATAACACAATATATAACTTTATTGGCATTAATTTTTTAACATTAAATCACAAGTTTGAATCTCATTTAAGGCATTTAATATAATTGTTTTTGTGAAAATATATTCAATATATTGGCTGTGACGTTGAACATACAGTTTTTAGATTTGGGCAGTAATTTAATGTCTAATTTTTTGCCATATATAGTTTTTGTGATGATCTTCGTATCCAGTATGTTAGATTTTTCATGAGACACTCATCTGCAGTGAAATATTTATGCCATTTAATTTCAAGTACAAGCTACAATTTTGAGTGGAAAATATTTTTTGTTGATAATCATACATCTGAAAACATAATTATTTCATTAAGTTATTGAAGTTGAAGGTATAAAATATATATCACTAAAAATATTTTATATCTCTCTTAGTAATTAATTCATTGCCAATAAAAAACCCAAGCATTATAAGTAACACAATCTTGATTACTGATTTTTATCATCTTGTAAGCAAACTCTTCTTGAGTAATAGTTTGTAAAGAAGAAAAGGAAATGCTTATTGGTTCTTCAGAGTTATGACATAAGTGACATCATGAGATTGTCAAAAGAAAATAGTCACATGACTAAACAAATCTTACCTGATGTTATGTCAAAAGCAACAGTATTTTTGAGCATCAACTAGTTTGCACTGGGCTTTACACATCTTAAAAAATAGTTAAACAACTCCATAATTTAGATGCAAATGTCACAAAATTGTGAAGTGGGTGATTGCTTCACAGTTGACTACTTGCTACTATCTCTTTTTTAAATTTTATATTCAAAATATGACATATGCTAAGTTTGAATTGTGTTATCCAAATTTATATTAAAAACATTTGAATTAATTGTATTTGTTTTAATGCAAATACAACTTTTGGGGAGAATAACAGCAAGTTTAAATTATCCAGTAATTCAAATTAATGACTTTTGACTGTATATATTATTTTATGAATTTTTAGAGATGATTTTTATATTTCAGGTTTTATATCACACAATAACTGGTTTAAAGCCCGATCTTTCTGGAGCATCAGAAGTAAAAAATTATTCATTTATTAAAATTTTTCTTAATTTTATTTTAAAATTTATATATATTTCAAATATTATATTTAAATAGCAACCAGAAATACTGAACACATCTGCCAATAAAGAGCAGCAGACTTCAGATGATAATTCCATCGGAGATAAATGCTCGGATAACGAGAAGGGTTCGAAATTCTCGAACAGTGCGAGACCTAGAGACGAATCACCAAATAGCAAAAAGGTAATTTAAAGAGTTAATTATGTTAATATCAAGGCTGCGGAGTCGGAGCCGTGGAGTTTTGGTGTTTTAGCCGGAGTCGGAGTCGTCAAAAAATCCACCGAGTCCGACTCCTTTTTACTTACCAACTTGTTATGTATATAAAATGGAAAAGTATAGGAATCGTGTCATTTTTTTTTTTGCAAATCTACACATTTGGAGACCTCCCAAACCCCTCAGAAAAGTCAGTTAATGGGAAAAATTCAAGCGCGTGTGTGTGTTGGCATCTAATTTGTTTAATTTCTTTATTTTCTGTTCTGAGATATTAAACGATATCTCAGAATGGGTAAAATTTAAGAAACGAAATGTGGCACTGTAGCTTGCGTATAAAGGGGCATTAATACTATTAAATTTTGGTTCTTAATGAAAGGTCGACAGGGTGAAGACATAAAAGTGTTCATGTGTCATATCTCTTAAAGAATATTTTACTTGTTATTAGCGTTCAAAATTTTAAAAAAATGAAATAAAACTCATCTCTACACTCAAAGTAAGCTTTTTAGCCATTTTATAATAGTACATTTTATAATAGTTAAGATGTTCTCGCCTAAGATGTTAGAATGTATATGGGGACACGATTTAGTTCAATCGCTTTAATGCTTAATAACTAACTCCTGTGTTAAACCATCTGACTCCGATTCTGACCACTCTGACCACAGAAATTATTAAGCTTCAAACAGAATGAACAAAATCATATCCCCCCACCAGTAATGTAATGAAGGGGGGCGGAAAAATTACGTTTTAGAGAGCGGCAAAATTTTACAATAAATAATAATAATATCTTGTAAGAATTTGAACCATTTTATTTCATATTTTCGTCCACCTACAATTTGGACTGATTGAAATGAGCACGGAATAGTGTTACCATCTGCTTCGCCGTCCGGGAATATCGTGCGCAACCTGTCGACCTTTTCTTTTTTTTTCTTTATTTTCTTTGCTTGTACGATTCATTCGTAATCATTTACACCTCCAAAATCCAATAGAGCTAGGTCACTTGCGTTACTCCTATCCAAGTCTCCCTAGTCGCTAACTGTAACTGATTTAGAATCGGCATGCACTGCACGTTATTCTTCGCATTGTTTCGCATTGCAAGATGACATTGTGCATGCGTCAGGAACTTCTGTTCGAAGAAACCTCACCTGCCGTCCGGGTCAGTGATTTTAAAAAGGTGGCAACACTAGCACGGAATTTTTCATTACTTATTCTGTGACGAAACTGAATTTTAGTCTTTTAAATTGAGATACCTAAATAAGAGGGCGGCGAAATTTTCCTCTGCCCCGGGCGGCTGACACCCACGCTACACACAGCCCCCCCACACAGTCTAACATCCACACATATAGAAAAAACCTCAAATCTTTTGCATATCTCGAAATTTTAGGGTGTCCTGAGTCCAAAAAATGTAAAAATTTGAGAGGGGTCATTTTTTGACCGAGCGCTACACTTTTCCTCTGTTATATATAACAGCTGAAAAAGTAAAAATTATCGAATACATATTTATATATCACTTAGAGCGTAGAAACTTTTTATTTCAAAGCTAAAAGACTTCTCTATCTTTATTACAACTCTATTTATTGAATATTTTATTCTGAGGTCACGTGATGACATCAGAATTTCCGGGTCTCTTTCGGTAACAAATCCACCCCTGGTCAGAGTTGGATGGTAAGGAAAAGTCGGAGTTGGAGTCGGTAGATTTTTATGCGACTCCACAGTCCTGGTTAATATGTATAATTTGTTTAAATTATTTATTTTAAAAAATTAGGAAAGAAAGAAAGCAGTGAAAGATGCACAACGAGAAAAGCGTAAACACAAAATGCCAAAGCATGTGAAGAAGCGTCTGGAGAAGGTTGGAAAAAATAAAAGGAATTAATTTATTGTGTTGCAAGTTCAGTAGAGAGAATGTATGTCAATGTATAATAAACAGGTTATTGGTCTCTATAGATATAAGTTGTATCTATTTGCCATTTGTATTTCTATAAATATAAGTGATTAAATAAATGTGCAGTTATGTGGTTATTATTTTATCTATTAATATAATAGTTTTCATTTTGGAAGAAACATTTAACAAATTGTTGAAATTCTGGTTATTACAATATATATAATATTCAAAACTGTGTTGGTTATATACTGGACTCTTGCTAAGGGTAATCACTCTTAGTAATCTTGTGCTTTTGCTAATCACAAGATTACTGTGTGTATAGGCCTAAAGGCAATGAATGACATAGCCCATTTACTTTCAGCACCAATTCTTTTAAGAGCTATACTGCTTTTGTTATGAAATCATGTACTTTGATACAGTAACTAAGTTTAATTCTTTATTCTTAATAACGTGCAATACATGCAGGGAAACAAAACCCGAGTAAATGGGGAAATGGGATGTGTGACACTACTAACATTTTCATGGAAACTGAAGCATATAGATGGTTACACTGGGGGGGATGCCTTGTAATTGAGATGCTGGATTAGCAAGAGTGTATTATATATCCTAAAGGCTGACGATGATTGATGATAAACTGTTTGACATAACATCACATAATTAAAAATGATTTTAAATATCATTAGAGTTATCTGACCTGTTAATACTATAAGGAGCTTTTTAAATCATATCCATTGTGGGTTTAGCCACCCCCACAATGAGCAGCCACGTTGGCAAGGGACAGCACAATATATCTGGGAATTCAAAGGGCAAGCAATTCCATGAAAAATTGCTCTCATTCAATCCTGGGAGATCCAGGATTGAATGAGAGCAATTTTTCATGTGAGAGAGCTGGCTAGCTGATTCCTTTAACTTCAGCATCCAGCTGTGGATTATTTTTGAAATTGTTACAATAAATGTATAGCTAATTGATTAACTCTACTCTGATTGTAAGCACAGCTGTAGACATTATACAAAGTATTATATGTAATGTAATGATAGTTTTACAATATATTAAATTTCACATACAAGGTGATTATGATTAAAGTAGCCCTGTTCAATACTGAAGAAATTTAGCAGTCCATATGCATCAAAATTTGGTTACATTTTATAAGGTTGGTTGGTTGGAGTTTTTTGACGCAAGAGCCATACAGGCCATGCTGCACCATGGCAAAAGGTAAAATAAAACAACTAAATATATATAACATCAAATATAAATACAACACAAAAGTGTAAATAAGTGCAAATAATCAAAACAACAAAATAAATATAAGTATTTATAAATAATCTCTTTATAAATATTTACAACTTTCAAAAAGTTCAGTATCTTATCAAGATTTGGCCTCTGGCCCAAAATCTCTCTCAAACTTGCATTTCCAAAATGCTGTCTATGACTTTGATCAAAAGCAAGGCAGTTGCAAAGTATGTGTTTAACACTTACAGTACAGTTGCAATACTGACATACTGGTTGATCTTCACCCTTCAGAAGGTATTGATGAGTCAGTCGAGTGTGTCCAATTCTCAAATGAGTAAGGACAACCTCAGATTTCCTATCAAACTGCTGTCTATTATGTGTCCAATTTTCTTCAAAGGTTTGATCTCATATAGTTTATTGTGGATTTGTGCGTTCCACATAATTTGCCATCTCTCTGCTAGTCGTTTTTTAACGACTAGCTTCAAATCACCTCCTTCAATATGCATTGTATGCTGTGAAGGACTAGCTGACTTAGCAGCTGTGTCAGCTTCTTCGTTACCTCTTATACCTACATGGCCTGGAATCCAACAAAATTTTACAGAGAAATTACTCACAGTAAGATGGCAAAACAGTTTACAAATTTTTATCACTATGGAATGAGAACTAGGTTCACACGAGATCAAAGCCTGAAGTGCACTAACTGAGTCAGTGTAAATCATGCAGCGACGATGACTTTTTCTGATTACATACTTTAAGGCTAGGTGGATAGCCTACAGCTCTGCAGCGAAGATGGAAGAAATGGTGCTATTTGTTCCGTCACGATTTCGTTCTGGCACACACAGGCTGAGCCAACATAATCACCCGATTTAGAACCGTCAGTGTAAATAGGAATAAATTCCTGTCATGGTGTTGCATTTCTGCAAAGTGGTGTTTGTAGACGTAGTCTGGAGTCCATTCCTTAGGGAATTGCTTTAAACTAAGGTCAACATTTATCACAGGAGTTGACCAAGGTGATATACTATCAGTCTTGGCCTGAGCAATGTTGCATGTATCCAGGTCAATCGTGCTGCTTACATTCTCCATTCTTATGACGAATATAGGGGGACAGCTTGGGCGAGCTTCAAATAGTCTTTTCAGCTGAGTATCTGATACTCTACAATCAACAGAAGGTTTAGTATGAGATTTCTGTTTGATATAATAAAAAAGAGACAACTGTTCTCTCCTAAGAGATAGTGGAGGCTCATAAGCATCCACATACAGACTTTGAACAGGAGAAGTTCGAAAAGCACCAGTGCACAAATGCAATCCTTGATGATGGATTGGATCCAGCATCCAAAGAGTCGATTCTCACGCAGAGCCATAAACAATGTATCCGTAGTCCAGCTTTGAGCGGACAAGGGCCCTATAAATCCCGAGCATAGAACATTTGTCTGCTCCCCAGGATGAGCAGCAAAGTACCTTTAGAAGGTTTACTCTTCAAATTACGCAAGTGTGGCGAAAACGTCAGTTTATGGTCGAATTAAAACACCCAAAAATTTTGCCTTATTCACCATTGGGATTTTGACTCCATTTAGGTAAATTTCGGGATCCAGGTGCAAACTACGCCTTCGGCAAAAGTGGATGCACGAGGTCTTCTCTATGTTGAAATTGAAACCATTAGTCTTTGACCAATTTTCTATGCGATTTAGGGAGGTTTGCAGTTGTCTCTCAATGAAACTCATGTTACTACACTGGCAGGAGATCTGAAAGTCATCCATCATTTTCATAAGGAAAAACTTCCTAGTGGTTTTGAAGACATAAATCTGTGGTTGGTCAAAAATAAGTTGTGAATTTTTCATAAAGGTATCTCTTGAAAGTGCATTGGAGAAACGTTTAAATAAAGATTCACAGCCCAACTAGAAATGCAAGCGAGATGACAATCCCATACAAAAGCCAATTTCTCTGAGATCACCCCACTCCCCCCTTATATATACTGTATAGAATAATTTGTCTACGAAAAGCTTTTAAAGCAATATATGTACTACAGGCCCACGAAGGCTATTCCCATAATTTCTCTTACGGGTGGAAAGATGGGAAGAGTAAAAAAATCCAATACTGACACGATGGCAGACGGTTGAGGTGACGGCTCGAAGCCTGCTTCTCCGTCCCTCACCATCAAGTGCACCATCTCTACGGCCTCATAGGCCTCTTAGTGCCTACGGGTGGACAGACCAAAAAAAAAAATGTCAAAGTCAAGGGATAAAAAAATCAGCACTTTCCCGGTGAAAAATACTTATGATTTAATTCATCTTAGTGTTTCTTAACACTAAGATGAATTAAAAATTGTGTGGCGTCATTTTTATGAATGTTATTTAAAAAATAATGTTTTTTATTATTAGTTATTATGAAATAAAAAAAAAAGTGTTATGAGCGTAGAGATGGGTTTTTAAATACCAATACCGAGTAAAATTGTGATTAAGTCCGATCCCACTCGAGATATGACACGTGACCCCATTTACTTTAACTACCAAAACTTAATAGCAACAATATCCCTTATACACAAGATACAATGCCAAATTACGTTTCTTAATCTATATCCCAACCTGAGATATTAAACGAAATAAACACCTACACACATTCGGAGTATCAGTTTTTTAAAATCTTTTTGGGTTCAGGGAGTCTCAACGTGGAAATTCCAAAAATCAGGAGACGATTACAATATAACGTTATAACAGCCAGGAAAAGTAAAAATTTGAGACGATAACCACGCTGTACTTTTCCTTTTATAAAAAGTCGGAAAAGTAAAAAGGATAATTGTCTGTATTGACATAGACTAAATTATCTACGAATTATAAACTTGCAAGAGATAAGTAATTAAGAATACACAAAATGATTTAGAGCATATAAGTGAACAAGTGCTTAATTTAGTTTAAAATCACACAATTTCGTGGAATATAAAATACAGACATTTTCCATTATCATTCATTTAGTGGCTATTGTTCGATGTTTGTAAAAATATAAGATTTTAAAATTAAAATTTACAAAATTTGCATTTAAGAAATTGTCCGATTGTCTTCCAAACACAACAGTCCTAATAAGTCCTAAACGTCAGCAATTAATTGAGAGTAACAATAATCAATTAATGAGAAAGGTAATAAATTAGTTTTATTGGTTAATTATTTCTATATTTAAAACGTTTCTTTAAAGTTAAAACATTAAAAATATTTTGAAACAGACTTTTAAACCATGTTTCTGAATAACATTTTAGTACAGCATTTACTAGAACATTTAAATATTGATATCACTCCATCGTCTAGTTTGTTGCCATCGGCATCATTCTTCTCGGATACAGAAATAATGATGGCTACAGGCTGGTCCGGTAATTAATATTAATTGCCCGTGCATATAATAGTCTACTCTGTGCGATGTTCTGTTTAACCGTCGAGTGGACCACCGAACACAGCAGTTAGCTGTGGGTTCGCGTGGAGTTTTCCGGGTTTTCTTCACGAATCTAAATAGGAACCAATTTCCCATAAAACGTACCCCTTTTAATAGAGTGCCCCATTGTGTTTCGTTTTCTTATTCTATCAATTCAACCCAATCCAAATCTGGAGGAAACTTTTGTTAATTAAAGTATTCAAATAGAAAAGTGGGGTTTTTGACAAATGATTTCGTGTAGAGCAGTTAATGATATTTTGTTTTCGAGTATCATTTACACAGAATTAAACGAGTCCCGCAACAATGAAAAGATAAACTATTTTAATTGTTATGGAAATATTTTAAATTACATTTAATCGAATTTTCAATCTCTTCATAAATTAGAAATAAAAATCGAAAATGGTTTTTGACCGGATGAAAGAAGAAAGCACCAATCTTGGGAAAATTTTATGGAGGATTTTTTCAGTAAAACAGACGAATTTTCTGTCGAAGTCGATCGTGCCATTCCTATGGGTAGGCCTGCTAAAGAACACGAAAGCCCCGCTCCTGATCGACAATGGAATCGGAAAACAGAGAAGTTTATACCAACGTGTAGTCAGTTCTTCCAATGATTTTTCATTCATAAGAAAAAGAGGACGTCGATCACAAAAACCTGCAAATTTCAAAATTTTCTTAAATTTCATCTATTTTAAGAGATAAAACGAATAAAATGAATGAGAAAGTGATCAAAATAAATATCAGACGAATAAAATTTTCTTTTAAACTGAATTGTATTGATAATTGCATTTGTTAAACACATGTAAACAAGTAATTCCTGTTGGGTTTCAATTTGTTTCCTTTGATTTCACATTATAATAAACACGTTTGTTAAAATTTAATGCGAAACATTTGCAAAAAGTAATTGTGGCATTTTCTCATTTACATATTTTCGGTTGAGAAATTTAAATATTGTCAATCGATATGGGGGTTTTCGGGGATGTAATTTTAAAAAATAAAAGTTAATTCAAATAATTTATTAACTGTACATATCTAAAATTTTCACAATTTATAGATATTAATGTAATTTGTAATAGCACATAACAGTCGGCGAAGAGAAAAAAAACCAGTAAAAAAAGCGAGAAATACATAGGTGTAACAATTCGCTCCTAAAGAAAGTAGTCGAATTGGCATTTAGTTTCGTTTTCTGTTTTTGCACCGAAATTCACGGGCAAGCGTCGTTCCTTTCCTTTGCCTCGTTTAAAGCTAATCTCCTTCTGAAAATCAAGGTTCGCCAGGATTGTAGAGTCGACCACTTGGTACTGTATGGAAACTTCCCACTAGAATAATGGGTTCAATCGAGTACTACACCTACGTTCACCACCGAGTTTGATGAATTTTGGCACAAAGGTAGTGTTTGATATGATAATGCAATCCCAAAACCAGTTCATTCTGTGGGCAGTAGAGCGAGTTATAACTAATTGAATGTGGAATTACAGTACTCATGGCGGAGTAATACGATAGTTCAGTCACGAATGCAGATCTGACGGAGGAGAGAGGAGCAGCGTGTTCGTTATCCACGCCGTCACACCCGGTTTGTATTGTGGTGGTGTGGAGGACAAAAAAGGATGACAAAGAAGTAACCATAAAATTAAACAGGATATTTATTCAACTACAGCTACTTAGTCCTTCGTACACCTGGTTCGTTTACACTAAACACACTTGATCCCAAACTATAGTACGTGCACAAGTTCGAATCCGTCCGACAAAATTCTATATTTTCACAAATAGAACACGTGCTCGCGACAATAAAAGGATTATGGTTTAAGATACTACAACTACTTAAATCTACCTTAATCTAGCTTATATGCTAAGGAAGAAGGGTGAAGAAATTAAGAGATACGAAGAGAAGAGACAAGTATAAAGGACAGATTTGTGGGGGTACCCGGGTAAACTTGGGAGTCTCCGATCTTCTCTATATCGGTACTTGAATTAACTCAATTTCCTTCCTCTTGATTCCGTCTCTTGAGAATTCGGGAGCGTTTTTTCTTGAGGTCTTAATCTGGGTGTCTTTCTAATTTTCGTCCGTTCGCAGACGACTTCCAAGCCTTCTCCGTTTGTCCCACTAGGTGACAAACCTCTAGCTTGCTCTTTCCTACGTCTGCACACCTCAGACGCTGACCCAAAAGTGTCTTGTTCGTTCTCCTGATGGCCTCAGGGCTTCTTAATGTCCCCTTTGTCTTCTCCCCTTTGTCCTTGGACAAAGGTCGTCCCCCACCCACAGAAAAGGAATAGGTTAGAAAGTTCTAGAAACACGTTAAAGACAAAGGAATTTAGTAGAAATAAAATTTATATCTACCCCTATTTACAAAAACATGGCGTACCGCCACAGTATCACATATTAAAATAACATAATTGTTATTTGGGGAGAGGCTAGTTTAATATCAACGGTAGTTAAACTTTCACGTATCGCCAATAGTTTTCACATTAGTTACATTATATTAAAAACTACTTTTTTTTAACTCTTTCCGCCCTGTGGGCACTAATAGAGCCTACATTTTGCGAGCCCATTATGGGTTCGGCCAGGTTCACAATGGGGCTGCCGGGTGGTGAAGGACGGGACCCGGCATAACCGAACGGATCACCCCCCGAAAAATTCTTGGGGATTTTTCGACCCGTTCGCATTCGAACCAGGGTCCCCCAGAGCTGTAGGCTGTCATTTTGACCGCTTAGACATCCGGCCGCTATTAAAAACTACTGTACATCAACATCTATAAAACACATCAATATTTTAATGAAAGTTATTAACAGTTACATTAATGCTTTGATAAAATTGAGAAATGATTTCTACCCAGTAAATCGAAGAAGTGATTTCATGCGGTGAGCTTATTTTATTTATTATCCCAATCAGGATAGTAGCATCTAAATATATTATCAACTAGAAATTCTCCCGTCAAGCAAGACGGAATATTTTTATAAGAAAGTAGATTGAAGAATTGAAACGAGCTTCGTTCATGCTGTTTCTGCAGCCCTTGACAAAACCATTCTTACTCGATGTTGCTAGAATCGGACTTGACGGCCTTCAGGGGTTTTCAGTTATTCTTTTAGATCTAGAATTTACCTGACCAATTTTACTCTTACTCTTTTTCCTAGAAATTATTATTATTTTGACAAAATAGCGAGTCTTTAATTCCACGTTTATAAAATAAAGCTAAATTGTATGTACTGTACGTTAATTAGATTAGCGATAATATTTTCTAAATAACGGGCTCGTTAGACCGTTATTGCGATGCAGCTGTTTTTTTTCATTTTAAATTTAATGATCTATGTTTAAAATACGCCATTTGCCAAAATATTTTAAAATGTAACTTAAGGGAAATTTCCATGTCAAACGTGATTACTGACGTCACTGCAACGTAAGTGCGATCCCGATCCGAAATCGATAAAACGTTTTTTCTATAGCTAATATTTCCGAAAAATAAATAGCCTATACATTCCATCAGAACATAAGACGAATAGAACCGAAATCTTATCTGGTTTAGACGAAAATTGCAGGAGTTATAAGGAATTCACATACACATTGACAACAGCTTGTATATTAGAGGGCAGAATGGCCGAGCGGTCAAGGTGGCAGCCCAACGATCGGATCGAATCACCAGGAATTTTTCGGGGCTGGTCCGTCCGAATATGTCGGGTCCCGTCCTTCACCACCTAGCCATCCCATTGTTGGGCCTGGCTGAACCCATAATGGGCTTGCTTAAAGAGGCCCATTTAGTGCCCACAGAGTGGAAAGAGTTAAAAAAACAGTCATCTCAATAGCAATTATTTTTGGCAATTACATCGATATTAATAACCTTTACTCGGGAAAGAGAGAAGCATAAATGGGAGCTTTCAATCCCTAAATGGTGCACACATAAGCACTTGAACGGTACTACATTTTTTTTGCTATGTTTTATCTTAGACGCGAAGTGATAGGCGCGATCGCTGCAATATAACGCGTATAAGAATAGAGATCGTAAAAAAATTAAATTTTTGAAACAAATGGATACCGAAAATTCCTCTCTTGAAAAACGTTTTCCTTTGGATGTAAAACTGCAAATAAACTTAGATAAAATTTATTTTCTTTTTTGTAGGTCATTCTTGTTCAAAGAATTAAGTTAAGAGATGATAATTCATGGAATAAGCCTAATTGAAAAGATCCAAAATACATTTATCAAATATCATAAACATAAATTTATAGTTACTGTAAAAGTTTGGTTGTACTAAAATCATACAGACTAAATAACCACGGTCGAGATGGTACTCTGGAGAACCCAAGTTAAAGTTTAAACACAAATCTTAAACATTTTTAATGGGCGGATTGTTCTATATAATTGTCGGGCTCCATTCTTCGTAATCCAGCTGTTCATATTATGGACCTGACCAAATCCTCAATTAATATAATTAAAAAGGCCGTTCACAAAGAAGTTCAAAACTAGGGAAAAAATCAGATCCTTTGTAACGTATAATTTTATAAAATAACTAAAATACCTATTATATTACGTTGTCAAACCTCAACAGATACACTTAGTCACGAGAGTTAGTTGGATGACTGATGCAATTAAGGCATCAACTTACTGCTGCGAGAAACCCAAGATGGGGGGCGGATCTAGGTTTTTCGGGGTCTAGGGCTTATTGAAGTCCAACGGGACCCCACTTTTTTTGTTTATACAAATAATACTATAAGTTATCATTATTATTATGTTATTAACCGCTTGGTCATCCGGCCATCTACAGTAAAGGCTCTGACGGTTAAGAAGTAACCCTATCGTTGTGAAGGAACCGGGCAAACAACACAAGAAAATTTTAATGGATAGTTAGTAGCGTCCGTCACCACCGGTCGCCCCCATTTTCGGCACGGAAGAGTTCAGGCATGGATACGATTGAATACTCACAATGCGGAAAAAATCAAAAACAAAAAAATAATAATTAACAGATAATTAAGTTAAACACTATAAACTTTTAAATTGTATAATTTCTTTAATCCAAATAATAATATTTTTATATAAATAATCGTCTCAGAATTTAATTATTTTAAAAAAATAATTAAAATTTTAAATATTGAATTATATGATCAACTGGTAACACTGTAACAAACGAAATAATTTCAAATGATCTTATTCGATTAAACAAAATCACGTGATTTTAAACTTCCTTTACGTTTGGTCACATGATAGATATTAACGAAACTTATTGGTTTGGATGGCATCACGTGTGGTTAACGTCAGTGGCCGATCTCGGCCAGTTGTATTGTAGTAGTATAGTTGTGCGAAAATGGCGACATCACACTCGAAAAAGCACGTTTGCTATTATTATGATGGTAAATAACCTTTTATTTTAATTATGCATAGCATAAATTAAAAATATAAACTAAAGCGTATATTTTGATACGATCGTAATTATGCATTTAAAAGGAATTTATTTATAATGGTGATATAATTAATTATAATTTGTAAAAAAATTAAATATGTAATTTATTGTAATAAATAGGTATTAAAATGCAATAAAAATACGCAATAACGTGTGAAATTGAAAATTTATTGGTAAAAAAATGGAACTGTGGAAGAGGAGTCGATGTGTCCCATCGGCTTTCCGTAGATTTTGTATACGACCCTTTTGTTGATTTTGTGTACACATCTTTGTTTTATTTACTTCAAAATATAACATTAATGCAAATTAAAGAAGAATGTAAACTTTCTGTACAAATACTGGAAGAAAATTATTTAAAAATGAGCATTTTATAAAAGAAGTTTTTTCCGCTTGATTGTAAAAATCGAGAATTCTACGGTAGCTCGATCGTGCAACGGATTCACTAATTACTCCGTAATGGCTTTAATTAGTTGATTGCGGTGATTAATAGAGTTTTGAAAAATAAAAATACTTATTTTATCCAAAAATATTCATTTCTTTTAAGTAATGTATTTTTTTTATTTTTGTTTTTTTATGTATTATTAACAATTGAAAGAAGGCTTTATTGTTTTATCATAGACAAACAATTGACAGCTTTTGTTCATTGTTTTCAAGATTTAAAAAAGTAACAATAATTTTCATTGGGTCAAAATTTAAAAAGTTTAAATTTTTTTTAATTAAAAATTAAAATAAAAAAATATATATTTTTAAAATTAAGTAATAAAATATATATTGCTTTACTATAGCAAACATGATTTAAAAAGTTTAAATTTAGTAAAATCAAAATAATTATTGTTGAAGATTTGCAACAACTTTTAATGCATGTTGTAAATGTGCAAGATTTCTATGTTTTACGTAATTAAAAACATTTATTTTACTATAAAAATGCTTACGTTTCTTATCATTTTTTGAAATTAAATTTTTATGATTAAATATTTGGATCTGTAATAAATTACGTTGCTCGAAAAGGGTTTGCTTTTATTAAATTATTGTTCTATATATGGGTCATTCTAAGTTAAGAGGTACTCACTGGTTAAGAGATGTGGCCACGACATAAATGTTAGAAATTTAATCTAAATATGTAACATTTTTATTGAAATAACTAATTTGTGCATATCTGCAAGGTGGCCAGTCAATTTATTTATTTTATCTTGTTTTATGAATGACCAGGGGAGATACTCAATACAGGGGAGAGACTAGGTGTACAAGGTAGGATACTTTATGAACAGGGGAGAGAGAGACTTTAACATTGCTTTATGAAAGAAAATAGACTTTTTTTTAAGAATCAACTTTATTTATTCATTTTATAATTATTAAATTATCAGACTGTTTATTTTCAAGCAGCCTGTTAATATCTTCATTCTGAGGAGGTGGTAGTAGCAGTGGGTCTTCATTATCCGAACTAGGAAGGGTTGTGGATTCATTACTTATGATTTGAAGTGCTAAACGACATCTACGATTCTTTGCTTTTTCTCTCCTCAATTTTCTAGCTTTTCGCTGTTCTTGGGGGGTCATTTGGTTCACAGTCTTAACAATTCCTTTTTCTTTTTTCTTTTGATACTTTTCATGTTCTTTAAGTTTTTGTAGTACGTATTTGTCAGGGTCATTTTTTATGCATTGGTACCTTAATCTTTCTGCTACACGATTTTTTTCTAGGCGTTCTTCATGTGCCATTTTTTCCTTGCTAACATATTCTGTAAAAGACATATTATACCATAATTAAATGTATGAGATAGGCTAAAAGAGTAAAAATGTATATTGACTAAATTACGGAACGACAGTTCACGTGTTATCCATAAAAATACTATGATCTGACGTTTTTATATCTCCCCTGGAATCTTAAAAGGCAGGGGAGATATGACAGGGGAGATAATTTTTCATTAGAAAACCGAAATAATCGTAAGAGTATTTATCGTACACAATTAACAAATAAATATGAGAATCTATGCACAAATAACAGTAAATATACAAATAAAATAAAGTTCTTAGATAAATAATCACAAAATAAAACTTACCAGGGGAGAGATCACTTCACTCTTTCACAACTGTACCCACAGAGTAACGTTACCGAAATCACTGACAAAATTGCTGCGTGGTTAGCTCGCTTGATGCTTGCTGCTAACTTCACATCCAATGAAATGTGTTCAAGGTCACAATTTCCCGCGACAAAGTAAACAAACATCGTTTTTTGACAAATACAAAATGCCAGGGGACGAGACGCGAAAAATGCGGGACAAATTAGATGTAAATATTTTTTTATGAAAAAGAAATATTACGTAATTTTACTTGTTAGATTACAATAATTTACTTATCCTATTTTATTAAAATGAATGATTTTCATATTTTATTACATTTCTATGTATTTAAAATTACTGATACACGAACAGAATCGGTTAGGGGACAGGCCAGGGGAGATATGTTTTTCATGTTTGAAGTACTATTATGACTAAATTAAGTATATTTAAGTAATGAATTTAAGTGACCATAAAGAAGATGGTGAGTTTTGAAAGATGATAACATTATTTCAAACAAATTTTTGAAAAAAATGTGATTTTTTTCTCATGGACGTTGAAAGTACCTCTTAACTTAGAATGACCCCTATATTAAAGCCAAATGATTGCCTGATTATATTGGGCTATATTACAACTACTATTAATAATTAATTAAATACTAAGTAAAATGCCTATTTCTAGTGCTGAATTTCTTCGCCTTTAATTATTAATAGTAATAGTAATATAGCCTGATATAATCTGGCTATTATTTGGCTTTAATGTATAATTATTGGGTTTTACATATTGAAATTAGAGTTCTTTCTTTTGTGTATTCAGTTTTCTTGTTTCACTTTCATAACAAAACAAAAATAGTTACATATTACCTGTATGTGTTCTTTTATATACTGTATATAAAAAATGTGTTTTATAATTCTTTACAGTTGTAAATTGTGTCTTGTTTAATTTTTAAGGATTTCTAGAGTTTTTCTCTGTTTTCAAAAAAATGTAGCAAAAGTAGGTCTTAAATCTTAGAATGTAGCTCAGAAAGAACTTATTTCTAGTATTTAATAGTTGTCCATGGAAGAAACAGATGTTGCATCCTAGGAAGAACCTGAGAAAAAAACCTCTTTCATTGCTACACCAATTATAATAAACAAAAAGTTTCACTAATCAGGAAGATGTCTATTTCTAAATAATTTATTAGGAAACATGGCGTTGATATGTCACGTGTCCTGACAGATTATTAGGAAAGAAGATTCTTGATGAATAAAGAGTCAAATGAACAGAGATGAGAAAATGCAAAATTTGATGTTGACTAAACTGCATATGTAATACCTTCATATATAGATATGCATCACAAAATATAGGCTTTTTAGCCTATATTTTTAACATTTTGAACACACAAATTTATTTTTAAATTAAAATATGCAAAAATTTTTTATTGAATTTTGCATTTATTAAATTAAAATAATTTAGTTATATTTAGAATATATTTTAATCATTAAAAACTTTCATTAATATATAAGTATTGGTATTATATTATACTTTTGTCCACTTTGGATGTTCTTGTGAACTAGAATATATGAATTTAATTATTAATATATTTTGCTCAATGCTGTAAATAACTTTTAGAGCAAAAAAAACGTTTAACTGTCTGTCTTAATGTTGTTTTAATTATGAGTTTTAATGGCATTAAACAAGCACTATTAAAATCTAACAAAATCCTTCAATTATCTTGACCACTTTCACAACAGAGAAAGTGGCCAAGATCATTAAAGGTTTGAAGTCACCAGTGATATATCTTATATTTTTAGAAATAAAAATAATTTAAGAAATTCATTACAAACTATTTAATAAATGTTCAAGCTTTGTGGACTGTATTAATTAAATTAGAGTCATTTAAATAATGTTCTTACAGCAGTTATGGAAACAAGGAGGAACTATTATAGTTGATCTGCTAAATTAATCAATGCACCTTTAACAATGGGTGAAGTTGAAAGAATGCTTATGTTTTCCACTCAGTTAATGGGTCATCTTCAGGTGAGAAAGATGAAAATGAAATACCAGTTCCAGTTAGGAAGATGGGATAAAGTAAATAAGCAGGGGAACAGGAAGTGAGATGGACTATGATGGTGTAGTTGGTGCTAAAGACAGAAGATATTATGCCAGGCAGGAGGAAAGGAGTGCTTGTCCTTGCTGTTTAAAGACATGTTAGTAGTGATGTTATAATGTTATAAATTTCACACTGTAAAATTTATAACATCATTACCATTTCTCTTTCATCTGTCCAAGCCTGAAGATGGTCTGAGCTAAAAATATTAGTATTTCTTCAACTTCATCCATTGTCAAACTGCATTGATTAATTCAGTAATTATGAAAGAAAAATACAGATGGTTTGTATACATCAGTTACTTGTTCTTTCAATATAAAATGTTTCTTAGAAACTTAGATAAGTTGGATTAACCAATACTTAATGCTATATTGTATTCCAAATATGTTGGTTGCACAAAGCCATTAATTGTAGCAAATAATGGTAGTAAATATTTTCAGTATGATGTTTTCTAGTGAGCTTTGTGGGGGTTAAAAACTTCATCAGAATTTGGTTAAGCTTTCCTTGTTTTAGAAACAGGTTTGTAACATAACACAGTTATCCAATAGTGATTTTCAATTTATGACATCATATTTACTCTGATGATAGCAGAAAGCACACATGCATAGATTGCTGGAAGTTAAAACATATACCATAATTCATTGTTTTATTGTCATTAACTAGTAATACAGTAGAACCTCGAAATCTCGGCTCTCGATAACCCGGCACTCCGGATAACTCGGACACACCCTGGCAGGGCAAAAAAAATCCTTAGTTAATTAATTTTCATTATAGACAGTTTTATAAAAGTATAAAAGCTCTCGTAAAGTA